CTGCGCGTGCGCGGCGCCGCTCCCGGGAGCGCGCCCGGGGCGGGAGCGCGCGGCGCCCCTGTGGCTCAAGCCTGGGGGCCCGGGGCTCCGGGGGTGGGGCCGCGACGTCCCCTCAGCCTCCCGGGCGGGTGGTGGCCGGAAGTGGTGGCGACTCCCGGGGGAAGTTGAGGCCCAGGTGGGGGAGGGGGCCGTGCGGGCCCAGCCGGTCTGACCGGAAACGGCGGCCCCCAGAGGGCCTGTCTCGGCCCACGGTCTGACCCCACTCCTTCCCCTTTTCAGAGAAGCCCGGGTCCCGTTGCCGCCCCGGGCGGGCTGCGTGCGGCCTTTGATCCGGTCGGTAATTACGGGCATTCCAGTCTGCAGGAGGCTCATTCATTCGCCCCGGCCCAGGCAGCCGGCAGGAAGAGCGTGCGCCAGAGGGGAAGTGACTGGGCCAAGGTCAGGCACCGCGTGGCCCGCGGGGCAGGGCGAAGACGGTGGCCGGGCCCGATGGCGGCTCCCGAGGCCGCCGGTTGCCGAACCTGTACTCTCCAGTCTCGGTCACAAAGGGGAACACCCCAGTTCGTGGAGATGAGTGCCTCTCGGACTCTCGGGGTCAAGCAAGCTCGGGATCAGACGGAAAAGTGGGCCACAGCGAGTGCTGACAGCGGCTCTACCAGTGCCGGCCCAGTGCTGGGCACCAGTAACCGGGAGATGAACAAGGGCCCTGAGAGGGTGCGCCGAGACCAGGACACAGGTCCTTATCCAGGGGGCCAAGGGAACCGGGGAAGACATCTTAATCTGGCCCAGCCAAGTAGGGCAGTCAGCTTTTTAGGAAGGGAGTGACTTGAGTTTTGTTTTTCATGTGGTTCCTGCTGCCAGGACTGTGTTGGGCAGTGCTGAGGATCCAGCTGGGAGTCGGTCTGGCCTCGTCTCTGGGGCAGCACAGTTGCGGTTGATCCTAGCTTATCTCCTAAGACTGTAAGCCTCTTTGGCTAAATGCAGCTGGCCTTCACCTACCTGCCTCTGCTGCACTCCCTCTGGTCCTCCTGCCTCGGCCCCAGGGAACATTCAGATCAGATTCATTCTTGTGTTATCTCTTGTCCTGGCCCTTTTCCTCCTGGAAGCCTTCCAGCCCTCACCCCACCAGGCAGAGCTAGAGAACAGGAAGGGTTTACTGCTGTGGGCTGGGCCCAGAAACAGCACTGCAGTGTGTTAGCCCAGAGCTCTGGGGTCAGACAGACTTGGTTCAAGTCCCTGCTCCACCATTCCTCACCTTTGTCACCTTAGAGCACATGTCACTTCTCAGTTTCCACTTGAATAAAACGGGGTGACAATAACAGTATTGACCTTGGTAGAAGGGCTGTTAATGCTTCCCTTTTAGAGCCAGGACAGGCCTCAGAGAGGTGGGTGTAAAGTGTGAAAGGGCTCTGGAGCCAGGCAGTCCTGCGCCAGGCCAGGGCTGGGCTCCGTCTCTTCCAGCCCTGTGACCTTGGACCTGCCGCTTCCCCTTCCCAGGCTCAGTTTCCTCCTCAGTCCCCTAAGGTGGGGACTGCAGTCCACCGTTCATGCGTCGAAGGCTGCTGCACGCACCTGGCCCTGCGCTGGGCGCTTGGACACGGTGGTCCTGGCACAGTGCTCTGCTGTGGGGTGGAAAGGAGGGTCACTTGAGGCCCCCGCGGGCGGCACTTCCTGTTCTGGAGCAGCTCAGAGGCCTGTGGGGGAGACGCGTGCACAGAAGCACCAGGCAGCGGCATAGAGGCGTTTGCCAGGATAGCCCAGGGAGCTGGAGGAGCCCGGAGAGAGGGTATGCTGGTCAGGGAAGGCTGTCTGGGGAGGTGGTGTGTCCTGAATCTTGAAGGACAGAGAGGAATTGGCCAAGAGGACCCTGGGGATTCAGGGAGGATGATGGTTCGCTCTAAGGGGTGGGCAGTGGCAAGGTTTCAGGCCACAGCCTCCAGCAGCTGCCTGGCTGCCCTGTTGTCTTTGATGTCACTGCTGGACACAGCTCTTGGGGCATCTGTGCTCAGACGCAGCTCACAGCCCCCCAAGCCTTGCTGTTCGCCCCGCAGTGCTGCCGGAGGTCTCCTGCCCACCTGCTTGCCAAGGCACATGCTGGGCGCTGCCCCTGGGGAGTCAGCTGTGGCCCTGGCCTCCTGGTGGAGATGGACTGCAGATCCAGCGACACTCGCTGAGCACTTGGCAGGCGCCTGGCCCTGTGCCTGGTATTCACTGTCCTGAGCCCTTGGAGGCCCTGGGATGGAGGTGGTCACCCCCATTTTAGGGGGGGAACCGAGCCCCAGGTCCCACAGTAGCACAGGTCTGTGTGATTCCAGAGTGTGGCCCTTTGCCATGATGCCGCTGTCTCCGTTGACTTATGTCTTCTGGGGAAGCTGGGGGTCCAGGCGAGAGAGGCTGTTCTGAAGCCCTCTTAGGTGTCAGTGGTCGGCTTTGGGACCCTGGACTCCCCCTCCAATGGGGTGGACTGATGAAGATCTTTACCCAGAGGGCTGCTGGCTGGCTTAGGGGACTCTGAGACCCTGCCCCTCATTTCAGGTGTGACTTGCACGGGTGGTCGGGACGTGGGCAGTGAGTACTGAGATCATGGTGGCAGGAGGCCTCACTGACCCATAAGGCATGTGGGGGAGTTCGGGTTGTCACACCAGTGGTGTCTGCAGCCCTGTCTTAGGAGCGCCGGGCTGACCGCCTGGGGCCCAGAGTCCTGGGCCCGGAGTTTGCCGCTCTGCCTGCCTGACCTTTGGGCTCACAGAACAGTGGCTTCTCTCGTGCCGAATGTGGAGTTGCATGTGGCCAGCCTCGTAATGGATGGTACTGAGGACCGACCCAGAGACACATCAGATGTGATCCTTTCTTGAAGTTCAGGGTCTGACCAGTCGGAACGTGTGGATTCCAGGGGCTATGTGTGTGGGGTCTGCTGGGGTGTGTGTGTGGAGGACGCACGGGCTCAGTAAGCCCAGGACGTCCCCGGGGATGCGGGCCTCAGCTGTAGAAGTGGAAGCAGAGGGAGCAGGCGCAGTGTCCTCAGTGAGAGGAAGTGCCGTGGAGCCTGGCCCACCACTTCATCTCAGCCCCACTGCTCTGTGGCTCCGTGACGCTGGGTCAGCCACCGAGCTTACCGAACTCGGCCTCAGTCCTGGTCAGCGCTTCCTGGGCCGTGCTGGGCGCCTGGCTCCGTGTAGAGCATACACAAGCGTCATCTCGTATGATTCCGACGCCAGGCCCGAGCAGATGAAGGGACATGGGGTGAAGCACATGCCCAGGGTCGTGGGGGTGGTGGGCAGTGGGGCCGATTCCGACCCTGGCAGCCCACCCTTCTGCCGGAGAGGACGTCCTCTCTGTCTTGGTGGTGGAGGGGATCAGGATTACGGACCTCCTGCACCCTGTGCTTAACTGGGTCTGGGATCTGCTTAAGCTGAGGGAAGGGAGAAGTCTGGGGACGCTTCTGGGGGAGGTGCTCTTTCTGCTGGGCTCTGGCAGCAGACCTGCAGGGAGAAGGCGGGTGAGGGGAGAGGAAAGATGCACTGTGCTGGTGGGCGGGGCAGGAGAATCCAAGCCCCCTGGGGATGGAGGGGTCTGGCCCCTTGGCCCGATGGAAGACCGACAGACATGAGATGGCCTGTAGGTGCAGGTCTGGTTTTTTGTTTTTCTGTTCTGAAGAGTATTTTAATTTGTTTAAATAATTTTTCATTTCTCACTAACACGTAAGAACCAGGAGTGTTTGCAGATGTTTCTGAAGGTCTGGAAATGTGGGATGAGGGCAGGTGGCCACACTGGGGCAGCGGCTGCAGGCCCACCTGCAGCCGTAATAGTAGGTCGAGGTTCTAGGAGTTCTAGAAACTCCTCTCTCGTGGAGCAGGCGGGGAGTAGTGACTGGGGCCGTGTGTGCCTGCCCTGAGCTCACTCATTTTTCCCACCAGCCCAGCCGCTGCGGGGTCCCAGGGGAGGGCCGCACACAATGCGTGAGTGGGGTGGTTGGTGGTGAAGCTGAGAACATGGGGAGGGTGTGAGTCCGGGGAGCCCCAGAGAGGCCAGGTGGGGAGATGAAGCAGTGACGTAGACTGACCGTGAGGCAGCCTAGTCAAAGAGGAGAGGGAGGAAGCGGGAGAGAGGAGGAAACAGGAGCGGGGGGCCTGAGGGGCTTCGCTCAGTCCTGTGTCCAAGCGTGCCAGCAGTCGCTCTAGGGAAGAGTGGTCTACCCAGCTGACCCCGGATCAGACAGAAAACTTCCAACCGGTCAGTCTATGGAAGAAACATGGGCACGTGGAAAGTTGCCAGTGAGCTCCCTCCACTAAGAAAAGGGGGGCATAAAGATCCTGATGGCATCATTGAGACATTCCCCCAGTGTTCAAACCACAGGTCTGCCGTGGGGAAGGCCCTAAAGGACCAGCTGGGGGTGCCGGCGGACTCAGAGGAGGGAACAGTCCTGGGTTTTCAGGCCTGGAGTGAGGGGTGAAGATGTCCTCAGAAAGGGAGGTGGGGGAGGAGCTGGAGGGGTTTGCCTGCAGCCCGGGTGTTGCTCGAGGTGCCCCACTGTCCCCTCCAGCCGGTCTGCCTTTAGGGAGCGGGTGTGCACAGGAGCAGATGCAGACCCCGAGGAAGGAAATGAGGGGCGATTCCAGTCGTGGTGGACGCTGGGAAGGAAGTGGGCCCTGTGATGTGGTATGGGGTGGGGCTTGTCGGCCCAGGGAGGTGACATTGGAGCACACCCTGGAAAGGTGAGAAGGCCCCAGGCAGGTGGAGGACTGGGCAGGGCTTTCTGGAAGGAAAAGGAGACCTGGGCAGGAGGTGGGTGGTGGGAGTGCCAGGCTGGAGGAGGAAGTGGATTTGCAAGGGTGGCGGCCAGAGGGGTCCTGTGGAGCCTGGGGTGGAGTCTGGATTTTGGCCTTTGTGCTAGTGGGGGTGGGATGGTTTAGGCCATGGAGTGAAGGGAACTGAGCTGCCTTTAAAAAGGAAGAACAGCTTTACTGAGATATAGTTCCCACATCGTACGAGTCACCCACTTACAGTGTACGGTTCAGCAGTGGCTGGTGTGTTCACAGGGCTGTACGGCCATGTTGCTCGGAGGACTTTCTCATCATCCCCTCAGACTGTGCACCCCCTCCCCTCCCCTGCCCGGAGCCCCTGGGAACCACCGATCTGTGTTCCGGCTGTGGGTTTCCCTGTCCTGGGCATTTCATGCCACGTGGTCCCGCGTCTGCCTGCCTCCCTGAGCATCGTGCTTCCCAGGTTCATCCGTGGTGATGCGACGCGGCATGTGTCAGCGCTTCCCTGTGGGGCTGGGGAATCCCCCAGCTACAGCTGGGCTGCGCTGGTGCATCCATTCACCTGGTGGTGGGCGTTCCAGCTGTCTCCACAGCTGCTGGAATTTGTGCTTCTGTGAACATGTGTGTGTCTGTTTTTATGAGGACGTGGTTTCCATTTCTGAGGTATATGGCCAAAAGTGGAGTTGCTGGCTCGTGCTGTAATTCTGCATTTAACCTTTCGAAGAGCTGCTAATCTCTTTTCCACAGTGGCGCCACCATCCCGCATTCCCACGAGCAGTGCCCAGGGGGCCAGGTTCTCTGCATTCTTACCAGCACTTATATGTTCTGTTTTTTATTGCGTCCGTCTCACTGGGGTCTCACTGTGGTTTTGACGCATGTTTCCCTGATGGCTGAGGATGCTGAACGGCTTTTCATGTGCTTATCAGCTCTTTGTTTTCTTTGGAGAAATGTCTGTTCCCATCCTTTGCCCGTTTTTTAGTGGCTTATTTGAACTAAAACTTGAAAGGGTGAGTGGGTCTGTGCTGTGGGGACCAGACTTTAGAGGGGTATTGGAGGGCGTGCAGGCCCATGGGGGTGGAGATTGGGAGGGGGCGTGAGGATGGACAGCTTGGGGGGAGCCGGAGGAGAGGGCCAAGTCTGGGCCTCCAGAACTCCAGGAAGGCAGGGGAGGGTGTGCGCACACACTTGTGCTCGTTGCTGTCACGGGGCTAAGACTGAGATGTAGCCACTGGGTTTGGTGACAAGAGGGTTGGGGAGGTGGTTAGGGCATGGTAAGGGGCCGGGGGGTGTCATAGCTCAGGTCTGATGGGGGGGAACCAGCAAGAGAAAGAAGAGGGAGAGGGGGTGATAAGGAGAGAAGTGAGTGGGCCCTCGGGGGGAGGGGCGGGGGCAGACGGAGGGTAGCAGGACCAGGCAGCCCGACCTTTCCCACATTGAGAACCCAAGATCCTGGGGAGCGGAGCCGGCGAGGGGGGGAGGAGGAGGGTGGTTGGCAGGGGAATAAAGAGGGCTAATTGGCGGGCAGGCATCCAGAGGAGGTGGGCGAGATCTAATAACAACAATAATAACAATGATTTGTCTCATGCTTAATAGCAGGCCCGGCCGTCAGCCCTGGTGCTAATTGCATCGCTCTAGGGCCCGGCTGGGCTGGGCCGGGAGGGCGAGGGGGGGCCAGAGCAGGGTGAGGACCTGGCCAGGGTGGTGCTGCTGAGAAACTGGGGAGCCGGGAGGGAAGACAGGGTGGGGAGGCTGCGGAAGGGCAGGACCCACCTCTGTGAGCCTCAGAAGGTGTCAGGCTCACAGCCAGGCCAGCTGCAGGAGCTGCCCGGGTCCTGGGGGTCCTGGGAGCTGGTCAGGGCAGCCTGTGGCCTTCCTCTCTGCACCGGCCTCTGCAGATGGGAGTGCCCCTCTCCGTCCCCCTTCGAGATCCTGGGGTGGGACCCAAAGTCCCCAGAATCAGGACAGGAGGCCTCAGAAGCTGCTTGAATGAGTGGATGAGTGGATGGGCGGATGGGCGGGGTAGCGGGGTAGCGGGTGAGCAAGTGAGTGGATGGGAGAGGAAGGCACCTGGGCAGTGTCTAGTGAAGGCCCTCAGCTCCCCACGAGGATACCACAGCCTGCACTTCCCGAGCCTCTCCTGGGCTCTCACACGGGTTGTGCGTGGCCCAGTGAGGCCCAGCCGCTTGTGCAGGTGACAGAGTGGGGCAGGGAGGTGCCAGGAGCCAGGGAGGCACTGCTGCAGGGCCCTTCCTGGGAAGGCGGCCGTGTTCTCACCCAGGTGGTTGGTTTAAATCTGCCTGGCAGGTGGTGTCACCTCCCCGTGCCCGGGGCTGAAACTGAAACGGAGAGGAGACTGTCCCCGTGTCCCCAGGTGTGCCCTGGGCGGGGCAGCCCTGACCTGCAGCCCCAGCAGGAGACCTCACCCACCCTCAGAAGTCAAGGCGAGAAGCTGTGTCCTCTTACCCTCCTGCCTCATCAGGGCTTCCCGCCGAGTCTGGAATAACGTGCAGGCTCCTGGTGGGGCCTCTGCGGCCCCTCGTGTTCATCTGCTGCCCCAGGCTGGCTCCGTGGCTTTCAGGGTGAAGAAGTGCGCCCCCGCGCAAGGAGCAAGGAGAGAGCCTTTCTCTTCCTTCTGAGGTCTCCCCACCTGTCAGAGTGTGCCTTCAGGCGCGGAGGCCCCAAGCCCCCAGCGCCTGCCCCCTCTCCTGCTGGACGTCATGTGCAAGACACGGCTCCAAAAAGAAAACTATAAGGGTCTTGGCATGGCGACCACAGCACTGACCCCCAGGCGGGGCCTTGTCCAGGCCGCCCGCCGGCCCCCCCCCCCAGCCTTCCCGCCGTTCCAGGCTGGGCCGCCCTCAGGCCCACCTCGCGGTCCCCGCCTCCAGGCCTTTCCTGTGTGCCTCCTTGGCCTAGGATGCTTCCCCCAGACCCTGGCCCCCTTGCTCCTTTGCGTCTGGGTCGGCAGGCTTTCTGAAACAGGCCAGGTGGTAAACGTGTTAGGCCTTACAGGCCAAGAGGCAGAGTTGAGGATATGTATGGATACCTCGATATCGATTAAAATGTGACTATTTGACCACAGTGCAAACTGTCCTTTGCTGGCGGGCGGCTTACGGGGGTCGTCGTGTGCAGAAGCTCCGCACGGCATTCCAGTCTGTCCCCGTCTGTGGGGGAGGTAGGGTTTTCTTCTGCCCTCTTGGGGCTTCCGGCTGGACTGACTGAGACAGATTAACAGGAGAAAAGCTTAGAACTCGTGGGAGCCCTCGCGGGAAAATCGAGGACCCAGCGCAGCGCCAGGCGGAGGTGCTCTTTATACAGCAGGGTGAGCAGAGTGGCCAGGGTTGGGGGGAGCTGCCGCCTCGGGGGACGGAGGATGGGTCACTGTGACAGATCCCCCTCCCGCCGGTGTCTCTCCCTCTCTCCCCCTCCCCCTCTTGGACTGTTTCTCCCTCCTGGGGGCAGGGAGAGCACCTTCCCGTGGGGGTTTGTCTCCTGCTTTCAGGAGGAGGTGGGTTCAGTGTCCTCCTCGCACCTGCTGTTTTCCGAGTGCCTGGGACTCAAGATAATCAGTGTGACAAAGTGGCCTGAACCTCACGCCCTGGCTCAAGGCCAGCCTTCCCCACTGCCCACCGCTTCCGGGCCTGGCCTCACTTTGTTCCTGGCTCTTCCCACGGTGGACATGGGGTCCTGGCTCCCTCACTGCCTGTTCTGGGAAGCGCGGGCTGCTGGTGCTCAGGGAGCACCTCTGAGCGCAGGAAATCTGTTCTGGCCACAGGGCAGGCCCCCTGACACCTCCCTGTCCTCTGTCCAGTCCCCCTGCTTGTCCCCAGGACGGCCCCTCGCCCTCCCACTGCAGGAAGCCGGCCTGAGGTGGAAGTCCCTGATTTTATTGACTTAGCAGTGCAAGTGGGAGCACGTGATAACCGCTTGGCAAACAAGTTCCCACACAGCGGAGCGGCCCGTCCTACCTCCTCAGCCCCCTCAGCGCTGGGCTTCTCTTCCTTTTCTTTCTCTTTGGCGTTTCTAATGTTTGCTGTGTTGGGATCAGAGGCCCTCAGACAATTTTTAAAGTCGGTTTACTTTGTAATTGGGATGTAACTCGCGATTCCATAAAATTCGCCCTGATAACGTGTCCAGTTGAGCTGTTTTCAGTCTGCGCACAAAGCTGTTGTGTGCGCACTGATTCCAGCACATTTTCAGCAGTCCAGAAGGTACCCCGTGCCCACGAGCAGCCCCTCCCAGCCCCGGCCGGGCCGCCTCTTGTCTCTGCCCGGACACTTCACAGCAGCGGAGCCGTGCTCTGAGTGGCCCTCTGTGTTGGCTGCTGTCCCTGAGTGGGTGAGTTGTCGCTTCTTTTTGGCTGATACACACAACACCCTGTGAATGTGCATTTGTGTCTCTTGGGCGTCTACGTGGGAGTGAGCTGTTTGCACAGCGGCTGCCCTGATTTGCAGGCCCCCTAGCCGTGCAGTTTTCACGTTTACCTGCAATCCGAGGGCCCATCCAGCCCCATATCCCACTTTGTCCCCTCAACATCCCGATTTCCCTGTGACACAAAGTCCTTGTGTCATCAGAAAAGAGCCCGATGTTTGGTCTTTTCCCTTATTACAGAAGTAATTATCCATTAGCGTGGGAAAAATCAGAACGTTGGGGGGGAAGGAGGAGGAAAGGCTAAGGTGCTGTTCCTGTTCTCGGGGCGGGGGCGGGGGGGCCTCTTTACAGCGGCGGGACTTTGTTTCTGAGGCTCTGAGACGTCCCGTGGGCGCGTGTCCGCATGATTTGTGATTTACTTACGGCTTTCTCCCACCACGGGGCTGGCGGGTTCTTTCCGGTTCTTCCCCTGCTCTAAATCTTGCTGTGATGGACTGTTTTTTCCTTGCAAGAAGCATTTTCCGAGGTTTGGGTTTTCCCCGCAGATTAGCTACTGAAGTGGGCTTCCTTGGGCAGGGGCTGCGAAGCCGCATCACCGGATTGTGACCTTGTGACTCGGACTGTGTAGGTTTCACCCAGCTCTTGGCCTGCTGGGCTGGCTAGGGAGCTCCATGGGTCCGAGAGCCAGTCTGCCCTTCCTGTGTTGGTCTCATCACTTCCTGAAGTGGGTCCGAGAGGGTTGGGTGGTGGTGGTGGGGTGTCAGAGTTTGGGTGTACTGCGTTCTGTCCCTCGAGCCTCCGTTCTGTTCAGACCTGTTTATCTGGGCATCACCCACCTGTCTCAGCACCTGTCGGTGTCTGGTGCTGGTGTGGGGCACCCGGGGGGTCTTGGCGGGGCGCTGACATTGCAGGGTAGGGAGGCTTCTCAGGAAGTGATGCCTCCCTGCAGCCTGGGGGGAGATGGCTGCAGGCTGGGTGGCTGTGGGTCTGCATAGAGGCTGTGTGCCAGGGTGGGGGAAGCAGGGCAGTGCCCTCCCACATCCTGAGGCTGCCACGTTCCTGGGAGTTACCGTGGCCCTGAGCCTGGTGCCCTGGTGTGGAGTAAATCCTAGCTGCCCCGCTGCCCTTGCTGCCATCCAGGTGCTCCTTGCTATTGCTCAAGGGACCAAGGACCTGGCCCCACTGTATCTATGAGCCCCAGTTTCCACATTTGTAAAACAGGGGCCATAATGGTGCTCACCTTGAATGGTGCTTACAATTCAAATGGCTCCCCAGTCCGCTGCCTGGCCTTTGAGGCCCTCAGGAGAATCTGTCTATGTGTCTCAGCCCTGGATCTGCCTCAGGGCCTTTGCACCTGCTGTCTGCCGCCTACGTTCCTCTCCCTCCCTGCTTCTCATTCAGGCCTGCTCCTTGGAGATCCTCCCCAGACCTCCCTGGTCAAGTTCCCCGCCCCCATGTGTGTCTGTCTCCTGGACTGTCAGGGACCTCCCCACAAGGCAGGGGCTGTGGCCTGTTCACCACGATGTTCTCAGGGTTGGAGACCACTGTGGGGGTGGGGGTGAAAAGTTCAGGTGGGGAGGAGAGGATTACATCCCTGTCTCGGGAAGTGCATGGAGCACACACAGCCAGCCCCGGTGGAACTGCTAATGCTCCCACCTTCTCTTTGCATCAGTCTTCTCACCAGGCCGCGTGAGATAGTAAGATAGTGGGAGGGAAGCTGCCTTGGTTTTGTCATCACCCCTGAAGCAGGAGGCTCTCTGAGCTCCCCTCCGACGTCAGTAGAGGTTACTGAGGGGCAGGGTCACTCCTCTGGCAGTGGAACGGGCTCCTGGTGCCTGGGTGGTGGTGTGCCCCTTGTCACTGGGGAAATGAGTCGGGCTCACTGTGCCAAGGTGTGTGATGCTCAGAGGATGGTTGGCCCCCTTCCTGGGTGCCAGTTTCCCCATGTGGAACAGGAGACGGAAGGACTGTGGGCTGAGAGGCTCTCTGAGCTGTGTGCATTCAGACAGACTGGCCCTGGTTTAGACCTGAAGGGGCCTGAACACCCGAAGAGGAACCGAGACCCCCTTCAGGTCCCAAATCGACCATGCGGCTTGTCAGGAGGCCTGCCCGGGAGTGATGTCACACCAAGGAGCAGGGCCCAGAGGCTACTGGCGTGCTGTGCCCCCAGCGCCAGGCTCTGGTGGGATGCAGGGCCGAGGGGCCTGTCCCCCTGGGCTGCTGTGAGGCAGCTGTGTCACTCTCTGTCTTTCTGGTGAGGAGATTGGGGCGGAGGTGGGGTCTGTCCCTGACCCCAGCTGGTCAGTGGTGGAGCTGGGACCTGAGCCCAGCTGGGTGGCCGCTGCCGGTGCACTTCCTCCTTGCCTAGGTTGTGTGTGGCCTCGGGCCGATCCCCAACCAGCGGGGGAGAAGAGGGCCGTGTCGGCCTCGTCTGTCAGGTACCACTGTCTGTGGGGTCCAAGCCAGGCACTTGGGGTTCGAGGGCTGATCAGAGCCCGCACAGCGCCTGACCCCCGCTGGGGCCCTCCGTCCAGTCTGGCCTCCTGTAAACTCTGTCCTTCTGTGTCGTCCCCTTCTAACAGGGACCCAGACATGGAGCTGCGGGAAGAGGCCTGGTCTCCGGGGCCGCTGGATTCTGAGGACCAGCAGATGGCCAGTCACGAGAACCCAGGTGAGGTGGCCTTGGGTGGTTCTTCCAAGCTGACCCCTCATCCCCACCCTGGACCGGGCTTCCTTTGCCTCTCTCTCCCCCTCCCATGGCTCTGGGGTGGCTGTCCTTCCTCCAGAGGGTTCCGCCAGGCCACCTTCTGGGCCTGTGTGGAGTCTCTGGGTTTTCCCACAGCTGCAGGTCCCTGGGAGCCCTTGGGGGCCGCCTCCTCCCTGTCCCTCATGGCCTGGCCCCCCTCCCCCTGCTCTCCTGGTGTTCTGGGTGCTCTGCCCTGTTTCTAGGTGGCCCCTCAGTTCTTGCAGGCAGGAAACTCTTTAGACCTGGGGGCAAACCCAAATGCCAGTGGGGCCAGAATGTAACAAGGCCGGGGATGAACCGTGATGTGCGTGGAGTGGCAGAGGAGGGGCAGTGCCGATTTTGGGGAAACAGTGGGGCTGTTTGGGTTTTTGTGGGACCTTTATTTTTCTGGGTTATCTTTCACTTGAATTTGAAATATTGGCAACATGTTTTATTTAATAAAGCATTATTTGGGTCGAATAAACTCATCTTTGAGCACATGGGGACTAGTGTTTGCTTGCCGAGACCCCACCACGGCCTCACCCCTTGTCCCCTGTTGAAGCCGTGTTCCCAATCCCAGAGGCTGTCATGCAGGAACCTGAGAAATAAAGTATGGACTTTTTTTCGTGCTGCTGTTGATGCGTCTTCGTGTGGGCATCACATCTTCATGCGTCTTGGCATGAGGTCAGCCAGTGTTTCTTGCTGTAAAGGGCCAGAGGGGATGCGTATTCGGCTTTGCAGGCCTCGGGCCCCTGTGGCTGGAGAGTGGCCACAGGCAGTATGTGTGACCCCATGCCGATAAAACTTTATTTGTAGAACAGTCACTGAGTTTGCAGTCCCAGTGCCAGCGTACTGTAGTCGTCCAGCAGAAGGGTCCTGAGGACCTGGACGAGAGCTGGGGGTAGGCTTCATAAAGCACTCAGCCCCCTTCTGCTGGTCTGTCCAAGATCCACTGAAGGAGGATGAGGAAGCCTCTGGGCTGGCCCCAGGTGGCCGTGGTTGCAGAGGAGGAAACAGATTTCAGGGCTGAGTGCTTTGCCGAGGGCACGGGCCCCTGGGGCACAGACCCTCCGCCTCCCAGAGGGGAGGATCCACGGCCCATCCTTTCCTGTTTTACCGTTCCCCACCCCCTGCTGCTGCCCCCCAGGCCTGCTCCTTCTTCCTTTCCCTGTCTTTTAGCCCTTTTAAAATTAAATCTAAAATCTACTTCATCCTGGAACTCTCCAGTGCAGACAGCGCAGTGATTGCCCCTCCCGCTGCCTGGCCTCAGCAGTGAGCGGCACTTCTCTGTCTTCTCCCTGGTTGTGCCCTTCTTTTTTTTTTTTTTTGTACGTATTTTTAAAGAAAATCTCAGACACTGTATCATTTCACCCATAAATTCTCCAGCAATCCGAGACGTCTCACCAGCACAACCTTGCTCCTTCCCGCCCTCTCACACCCAGTGGGCCGAGGTGTCCCAGCTGTCTCCAGAAGGCATGTTCGCCCTTGAGTGCAGTTTAATTTTACAAGCCATCCATTAACTCATTCTCCTTAGGAAACCTTTGAAAAGTACAAGTAGGTCCTCATGTCCCCTTTGTCCAGCCTGCTGCCCCTGACCCCTTCTCCCCGACCAGGAGCTGTTGGAAATCTGCTCCGGCCACTCCCTGCTACGCTGCCCCCACCTCGTGATGCCCCTTTGCTCAGCTCATAAGCCATGTGGCCTGGATGCTTCCATTTGCTGTGTGTCCCATTGTTCTGGGCCAGCCCCATTGGGTCTGGGGAGCCTCCTGTGATGGTCAGTGCTGGACCCCTGCCCTGAGACCGCCTGGCTGATATCTGGGTGCAGGAGCAGCAGGCTTGGCCTGGCTGTAGCTCCCGGGGGCTGTTTCCCTCCAGCCTGTCGGTGGGGGACTGGGGCCCATGGGGCAGGGCTGTAAGCACTTCCTGTTGTGCCCCATGTTTGTTGCCAGCCACCTTGGTCGTCTCTTCTCCTGGACTTCTCACACCCTGCGAGGTTGGGTGCTGATCTGAGCGTGCTGGGCAGAGAGAGGCTGGGCCACCGCCCAGGGTGAGGCCATCAGGAGCCAGTAGAGGGTGGCCGGGGCTGCACTGTCTGCAGGCTGCAGCCGGTGTCTGTACTGTGCCGATTGGTCCCACCCATTGCCTGGAGGCCCCTTGTCCTGGTGACCCCAAGCTGGAGTTCAGGGTAGAGCCTGCACCAGGTGCGGGTGGGAGAGCCATCCAGGCTTATGCTGGGGTCTTAGCTGCAGGGCGTTCAGAAAGAGAAGCAATCCAAAAAATGGGTAATAAATCAAGACATCCGGGTTCTGAGGCTTGAGTCTTCAGCTGGTGTGTTGGGACTCACCCACTGGGGCAGGGTTCAGGCCTCCGACTGTCAAGCCCCGTCCACAAGTCTCAGTGCCCTTTAGTCATCCCGCAGATCTCACCTAAAATGCCACGTCTGAGCCAGGGTGACAGCAGTCCTTGGAGGTCCTCAGACCTCTAGTAAAAACCCCACAGCCGCATAACCCCGGGCGCTGACAACACACCTGAGGTGTGAAGCCCCGAAATACAGCTGGATGGGGACAAGCCAGCGGCCCGGCCAGTGTGGTGTTAGCACGGGTGACAGGGGAGGACACCCCATTTGGCCCTCGAGTGTTCACTGGAAGTTATGGGGTGGTCCCACAGAGGCCAGCAGCTGACATTGGGGGTGTTCTGTTCAGACTGGGAGCAGGGAGCACCCCGCCAGGGCAGGACCTGCGCAGAGCAGCCTGCCAGGAGGGGATTCAGAACTGAGTGGGACTCTGTCCTTGGCCACAGCTGGGGAGGAAAGAGAAGGTCCAGATAAAAACGGGGGTGCGCAGAGCCGGGAACCTGCAATAGCTGGTCACACACTCACAAGACGGAGCTCCGAGAAGCCAGAACGTGGCCTCCTAGTTCAGGGAAACTAAGCTACAGAAATGGACAGCAGGAAAATCCCGAGTTCAGTCCTCTTGCTCCCATCCCCTGAAAACCTGTTAGAATGAAAAGGGGCAGAACAGGGTCTCCACGGACAGAGAAAGGGGCCAGAGATAACCCCCAGACCGGCCGGGATCATTCAGGAGGAGACACAGCCCCTGGAGGGCACGCCCATGGCAGCTCAGACCAGGGGGCAGAGCCCAGCCGAGCGTTAGAAATACAGGTTCATCTCAAAGTGAAGACGAAGGAGAAGGAGCTCAAGACTGAATAAAAATAACACATTGTTCTTTAAGAAAAATGGAAGGTGACAAGGAAGGGCCTTTATAATAAACAAGAAATGAATAAAGGTGAAAACAGGCAAAAAAAAAAAAAAAAGAAGTACTGAAGTTAGGGTAAAGAAAAGCCCTTGAAGAAGAAATCCAAAGTAAGAGCGAGGAATAAATGGTAAAAACTACACGTCAAGAAAACATTCCTGAAGTGTCAAAATTAGGTACTGAAGGAGCAAATGACAGATCTGAGAATACCAGCTTTGGATGAGCAAGACATGCACTCTTCAGTCACGGGGCTGCTAGGCAAAAAGAGCCAATGACTTACAAGGCAGCATAGCTGGGGTTGCCGCCAGCCTGTCCGCAAGGCTCTATGCCAGAGGAAATGGAGTGATATTTGTGGTTCTCAGGGAAAGAACAGAGGAGCCAAGGATCTCATATTCAGCAGAACTGACCTCCATGTTTGAAGGGCACAGAGGAACTTGTTAACAGCAGGAGCTGAGCAAAGAGCATGCTCGTGGGCCCTTCCCGAGGAATCGGGGCGCATGAGCCCCGGGCAGCCGGGGCTAGAAAGCTGGACGTCTGGGTGAGCGGGGTCAGGCTTAACGAGGGCTCGGACCGTGGTGGTCCGGCTGTGACGTCAGTGAGGGGAATGGGAATGGCACACACGAAACAGATGACTTGCTTCCTCGGGACTCCTGCTTGGCAGTGACAGTGTTAGAGTGGTTTTTTTGAAGCTGCGATGTGGGGTCAACAGATGAGAAACTATGGGGTGTTCAAGTTCTCTCCTCCCCTTGTGAGGAAGGGAGGTGCAGATGTCACGGAAAAGACTCAGTAAAACCTGTGGGCCCGAATTTGTAGGGGAAGTATCAGTTAGAACTCATGGGAATTTTATCTTAAAAAAAAAGTGACGGGTCATTTCCAGATTTTGGCTTTCAAATTGTTTCCCACCAACAGAAACCAGAGCTCTTTGGAGAAACAGCCGATTGTGGGTCTGGGGCAAGAGGTGTGGATGAAGCTGGAGTACCTGGTTAGGCTGAAAAGCAGAGAAGCCGTCCAAGACCACCCGAGTCCTGGCCAAAGGACGCGGAGCCCACTCGAGGCTCCGCGTGCTGAAGATGGCAGGGTGATAACGATGGCAGTGGGTGAAACCCACCAGGCGTGTTTAAAATTGTGAACTCATAATGATGTTAAGAAAGGAAAGACTAGTTGGTTACCTTGGAGGATGATAGGGAACCAGTTCATAATCTTGAAAACTGGGTGGATAAGGGGAAATGAGGTTTATCCTGCCATAACCACAAGAAATTTACCACTGGGCACCAACCAGAGGGTGATGGAGAGACTCTAAAAGCCATTCCAGCTACTAAATGCAGAAGAAACCACAGAACAGCCCCATTTTGCACCCCTCAATAAATTAGTAGATCTAAGTGTTGAGTGTCCATGGCTGTTGACATCACAAAAAGAAACATGAGATTCCAGTGAAAGAACTGATTGCACCTTCAGAATGACTGCAGGGGCCAGCTGCGCTGAGCAAGCCAGCTGCTAACTGGCAGCAGATGCCAGGGACTGGGTGCACGCAGTCAGCAAGAGTCCTGCGGGCCAGCTGTAGGTAGAGCTCAGCTGCTTCAAAAGGAAAATTGTAACGAGAAGCAAGAGACGGGAACCTGTGTATTAAAAGAAAGTTAAAGACAAACAATTAAAAAGTAAGGGACCGATATATGGTATATATGTATTTACATGCAGTATATTGTATATGTGCAGTCAGATTGTAACAACTCTACCTAATAGAACTGAAAACAAACAAAAGTAACGGACCAAACTAGTGTCTGGGGATGTGCACTTGGGTGACAGAACCGTGAAGAAATGCAAGGGCGTGATGGCTGCACGGGTCACGATGGTGGTTGCTTTGGGGGTTGGGAGGGGGCCCGCTGGGTGGCCAAGACCTGGTCCTGACCAGGGCATTTGTCTTACTGCGCTTGTTGTGATCAGCTCTGCATTCCATTTGGAGGCTCTCTGCAGGTCATGTGTTTTACGAGAAAAAGGGAAAAGGTTAACATCCAGGAGGGTCGCAGGGCCTCCGCTTCCCTAGGTCTGTTCGGAGGCGATCCTCCGTGGGGCAGGAACCTGCGTGAGTGGCAGGACCCCGCCTGGGCCCAGAGCCGCAGGAGCTGGGGGACCCCGCGCCCTCGGGGCCTGAGCTGAGCCCTCCTTCAGCCGGAGGACGAGGACAGTTGCTGTGGGAGCACAGGCCTGGCGCCTAGGACACAGCCTCCCCTCCTGGAAAGGGTAGCCGTTGCCACCATCAAGCGGTGACTGGTCACTTCAGTTGTTACTGAGGGAGCGCTGTGTGCTGGTCACCGTGCTCTTCTCTTCCCGGGAATTCTTGAGTCCTTTTAAAGATGACGCTGTGAGGCAGGGAAGTTGCTGCGACCTGATTTTCCCCATGAGGAACGTGGCCAGAGGGAAGCGGTTGACTTCTTACCTGACCTGGAGGAGGGCGGTGGGTGCAGACTCAGACCCTGTGCTTGGAAAGGCAGACCCCTGCGCCCACTCGCAGAGGCCAGCATCGGAGGTCCGTGGAGGGGCCTGGATGAGAAAGAACCCCGCCTCGCAGAGTAAAGAGACCCTCCTTCCTTTAACACCTGCTAAAAAAGTAGCACGCGCCTCACAGGGAACGCAGCAGGAGTCGCGTAGCCTGAGGCACACACCGGGAGCCTGCAGCCCTGGCGCCTCCTCACTTCCCGGCTGATCTGGGCCGGCGGACCTGTGGGCTTTCTGTGCCTGGTTCTGGACAGGCTCGCCGCCTCTCGCCGCAGCTCGCCACTTGCAGATCTAGCCCAGCCGCTTGCTGCTGTGGAAGGTGTCGATTTAAGGAATCGCATCCTCCCACCACCCGACCCCAACCCCGTCCCGCGTCCCCTGTGCCCCTGGTTTAGTTACAGGTGTTTCACAAGTTTAGATGGTCTGTGTTCAGTTCATGTCACCGTGATTGGTATGCTCTTCATAGCTGAATCACATCGTGTATGGTTAAACTTTCCTTTTCGACAACTTTGAAAACAAGATGTTTATTTTAATCAAAGGAGTGCAGAGAACTTACAGTGAGTCAGGTGATACGGCTCATTTCCCATGAAGAGCAAGCTTCGTGCCCCCCCCTTGCCCCTCTGCTGCCCCGACACACTGCTCAGGGGGGACAGCTTCCCACCTTTCAGTTTTTTATTCTCGACCGTCTCTCTAGGTAATGTGCTTATGACTCCACTTGATCTATGTTGACACCAAAGGGGCCCCTTCCCATCTCTTCAGAAGCAGCCCCCTTCCCTCCCCAGACTTCCTCCCTGTTTTTTTTTCCTGCTCCAGATAATTCCATATCCCAGACCCTTTACCATACAGGCCGTATTCCAGTACTCCTTGCCATAGAGGAGTGGTTCTCAAAGTTGAGGTGCTCAGAATCACTTGGGGGTGCCTTGTGGGCCCCGGGGTATTGTTCGGCAGTGCAGGAGCTCGGTGGCTGTCTCAGGACACAGACTGCGGTGTAGATCTTGGCTTTGCCGCCCCCAGGCCGTGTACCCTGGGGCGGTGGTTCATTTTACTAGTGCCTCGGTGTCCTCGCCTGTGAGGATCCGAGTGCCATTGCGCCCGCCTTAACAGGATTTAAATGCCTAGGGCCGCCCTCAGCACATCGCAGCCCTTACAGGTTTGCCAGCGTTATGAGCATTTCGTTCCCGGCCAGGTGTTGGAACACGGATCCAGCCGCTGTCCTTGTGGGCTTGCAGGCTAGTGAGGGAGGGAGCGGGAAAACAAGTGTTCGACTAGATTATAATCCTGTTTCACCTTTGTAAGAAATCTGCGGCGTGCACTTGGGGATGGGACCGGAGGCCTCTGAGCGGGGCTGTGCCCCAGGGGGCAGGTCTGGAGACCAGTGGGCGGGGCTGCGTCCCAGGGGGCGGAGCCGGCGCTGAGGCGGAAGTGGGGACTTGAGCACCCTGCCCCGCCCCTATTCTGTAACTCGGGCCAAAGCCGGACCTGGGGAGCAAATGTCGTCGTCGAGGGTGTGTAGACCAGTCTCGCAGAGCTGCGCAGGCTGGGGAGGAGGCGGACTCATTTATCCTGGGAGGCTGCTCAGGCCAGGCGCGGTGCAGATGTTTGAGAGGCTTCGTTGGGCAGACACCGTGGTGGTGTCCTCAGTCTGCAGACCCCAGGACCAAGGCTCCATGCTCTTTTAATGTCTGCACTGGGCATACAGGACCCACAAAACCAGGGGCCAGGGCGAGGATGTCTGTAGTAGAGAACGCGCAGTTTGCGGGGTTCCACTCCCACTTAGTTGCGGGTCAGGACTTAGGCGCTGTCCTGTGATCCCATTAACCAGTTTGGTTTCCCCTTCTCTTCTCCACCCGCTGTCAGGATCGTCTTCCAAGAGCCCAAGCGTGACAGCATTTCCAGGCTTGCACATCTGCAGGGTGCTGCAACCGTGTTCCCCGGGCTAAGGTGCAAACTGCCCTGCGGCTGCATTCAGGGCTGGCCGCGCCATGCTCTGCCCTCAGCCTGGAGCTTTGGGCTTCTGGAGTCCTTTCTTACTAGGAGACTTCCCTGGACCTCCATCCCTCACTCCTGTTTGGTTATGTTGATTTTTTTAAACAGACGTTTCTGGAATCCCTGCTAATTCCCGGGCATTGTTCTAGATGTGAGGGAAACAGCCTTGAAGGAAGGAAAAGCCCTAAGGGATGGGTAATAAGTGTTTAGTAAAATGCCAGGGCTTGGTCGCTTCTGCTCCGAGAAAAAAAATAGGAGTGATAAGGGATGGGGACTGATGGGACATCTGCTGAGGGCCAGCTCTGTGCAGAGAGCTTCGCACCGGCCCAGCCGCCCTCCGAGGTAGGTGCTGCCATCGTCCCTGTTACAGGGGAGTCTGAGAAGGCGCACAGAGGTGAGCGAGTTGTCCTGGACCATGCACAGCAGCGAGGGGAAGAGGCGGGTGGAGCCCCAGCCGGGGCTGGCCCGGGCCGTCCGCGCACGTGGCCCCTCTGACTCGCCTTCTCTCCTGCTCTTGCCTTCCAGTGGACATCCTCATCATGGATGACGACGACGTCCCCAGCTGGCCCCCGACCAAGCTGTCCCGCCCAGTCTGCGCCCTCGGCCGGCC